TCACATCATGATCCTTGTCATATCAAACAGGTTCATTGCCAGCCACTACTTGATTCCTTTTTCCTGTCTCACTTTGTCCCGAATATATTCTTAAAGTTATGTCAATCACCCTTTTGTCAATGTGTTATAGGTTTGTTACATTCCTGCTCTGTCTATTATTATCTGTGCCAGGGATGTCTTGGTGAAGAAAAAATATAATACCCCTTAGAGTTAAGAAAATATTATTCTGGCAAGTGGCAGGTTATAGACAGTTATTGCATAATTTCAGCGCCAACTGAGCAGTTATTTGCCCAGAGGGAACATGAAGTAGCCATGAAGTAAAATGACCCCATGTATCTTGAAAGAAATTAAAAAGTAAAAATCTGGGACAATTAGGGTGCCTAGGTAGCATAAATCTCTCTCTTCCATTTCTTAATTTCAAATAGGATGGTTAAGGAAGTAAAGCATTTACAAAGGAAGATGTTAAAATCTACATTTTACCACTAACGTAGCCACTGTCAAATGCTCACAAAGAGCCCAGTAAAACGTCTAATATGTCATATCAAGAAAGTTGAAATTATTTTCAAAGACATGATTATTAGAAAAAGTGGCATTAATGGAGAAGTGGAGGCTGTAGCAGAATCATCTATTTGTAGACGTTTTAGGCTATCTGCATATATATATATATATATATATTTTTTTTTTTACAGTGGATATTTTTCTACTTTTGTGGTAATAAAAAAAGACAAAATAGGAAATTTTCTAGACAAGTAAATGAATAGGTATAATGGTTTGTGAACATTTGCAAAATATAAAAGAACACACAGAATGACCCACTTCCTAATAGTATAATCTTAACACACATGAATTCTGTCAACAGGGAGACTAAAAAAATAAGATCAGAAATACACAGACATAATGTTTAAATCCTGCCTATAGCACACCATTTATTCCTAGGGTCTTTGTGTGGATTGCATATTTGCCATGCTTTTTGAAAGAATGAATTGCACTTAGTGTAATAATTTCAAGATCCATCCATGTTATTGCAAATGGCAGTATTTCATTTTTTTAAGGCAGAGTAACATTCCATTGTGTGTGTGTGTATACATATATATATATATGTATATATATACATATATATATATATATATATATATATATATATATACATATATATATATATATATATATATATATAATCTTTGTTATCCAATAGAACTGAAAGCAACAAAGGAAAAAGACAAATAAACAAAAACTCATAGACACAGACAACAATTTAGTGGTTACCAGAAGGTAAGGAGGGCGGGAGGGTGAAGGGGGTCAAATATCTGGTGATGGAAGGAGAACTGACTCTGGGTGGTGAGCACACAATGTGATATATAGCTGATGTATTACAGAATTGTATACCTGAAACCTATGTAATTTTACTAACTCTTGTCACCTCAATAAATTTAATTTAAAAAATGGATTGTGGATGGAAAAGGCAGATTCTGAGAAGATAATTTCCCCACATAATGCACTTTTATCATTGTCTAACTCTCGGCTACTCTGCCATGTTCATTTTACTGATTCTTTTAAAACAATTGTATCTGCTTTCATTTAACCATGCATCCAGTCCTGTCGGTATTTTCTACTACTCAGCTTCTCATAGATTCCTGGGTTTTGTTCAACTTTCTCTTATTTTTACAAATGAAATAACTAAGGCTCCACATAAGCCTCTGAAACACTTCCTCAGGTAGATGGAGACTATGATAATTTGTCTTAAATGAACATTGTGAGTCACATAAAACAGAGGCCATGCATTTCTATACTTTATATATCCTTCACAGTGCACATGGCTCAGGCATGTTCAGAGATGTGGCACATCTGGCAATAGTAGACTTAGTGTCTGCACAATGAGGAGCATGCCTTCGGAGTGGGGGGGATGACAGTGGGCAAAGGCAAGTTTTCCATATGTTGTCCTTACACCTTCAATCTGTTACAAAGTGGAATTGGCCACGGCGATTGTCAGGCTGTAAATCACTTCATCGCTGCACTGGGGATCAAATGCGCTTCTGATGGGGACCTGGAGAGGCACTCCTACCTGTGAATAAGAAGCAGTTTAGGCAAGTGTGGGAAGGCTTTCTCTGAGTATGCGTCACCCTGCTAATGAGACCTCACAACTACATTAAGTTAGGCTAACTATGGAGAAAACCCATGGGAGTCTCTGTTGATAATCTTCCGGTGTGTTTAACAATTTACAATCAGGCCTTAAACCTGGAGATGGAGCCGTTCTAGCTCTTCTTGACCATGCATATCTGGACTTATATTTTGAGAGGTTCTAAATAGCAGTTTAGCATCACATGGTTCTAGACCCATTGTCCAGTTCCACCCAACCTTTGTATTTTACACTCTATACTTTTTTCAAATAAGACTTCTCTCTGTTCTCCATGCAAATCATGTGTTTTCGCCCCCAGGCTTTGCGTAAGCTCACCGCTGTCCCACCCACATCTCTAATTTCTCCCCTTTCTTCAAAGCTTCCTCGAGCCTTCCTTAATCCACTGTTCAGAAATGATCCCCTCCTCTATGGCAGCTTGTTTTTAGTTTGCTTAAGACAAATTTATAACCTTATTTATGTAATCAAGTTTTGTGTTTATGCCTGATCTCTTCAACACGACTACTCATAAATGCAGGGCAGGATTGACAGCTGTGTCACCTGTGTGTATTCCTGAGTACCAATGCTTTATGTATTCATTGTTTCCATAACACAGGTACATTCTCTCTCTCCCTTTCGTGCACACACACAGAGAAACAGAGTTTATACAGTCTTATGATATGAACCTCTATTCAGAAATATTATTAATGTCTGATGGATAATTACTATCCTTATTCCTCCTTCCTCCCTGCACACCACCCTAAGAAGATTTAATGTCTAAATACCTCAAAGAGTACCAGCCAAATTCTCCTCTGGCATAGTTTAACCCTTTGCCTGAGATAAAAGTGATTCCACTTTCAATAATAAAGAGGATGATCCAATTATTAAGATTACCAGGTGTGTGTGTGTGTGTGTGTGTGTGTGTGTGTGTGTGTGTGTGTGTGTGTCATGGGCACTTGGTCATTCCTGGTGTCACACTGAAAAAAATTGCACATTTTGTGGGGAAGAGGCTATTTGGCACAGGTAATATCGTTTTCACTTGCTTCTGTGACTTGTGTATATCCTTTCCTGATCCCCTAGAGAGATCAAGAACTGGTGAAAATCAACAGGCACTTGTCCTTCACTTCTATAAATGTACCGTGTCTATCTTTTTCCTGAAGAGAGCTGACTGTGAGCTTACCCAGAATGAGGAAGGGAGGGAGCCTTTGCAAACAAACGAGCAAACAACAACAAAAGAGAAAAACAAAAAGAAAATTACTAAAAATCACTAAATATATAGTCCTAAATATATTACTATAAAGTCAAGAGAGAAGAAGAGGTTCTCAAGCTGTGTGGTGCTGAGAGGGCCATTGGTTAGAGTTCAGCCATGGTGCAGGTTGAGAGCCCCTTTTACGCCCTTTGCAATCAACCCATCACAGGAACCCAAATAAGTGAATCTTCTATATAAAGAGGATTGTGTTCTGCCTGGGGAGCACAAATCGCGGACAATCTCTCTTCTATCCATGCCAGCTTGTTTCTACTCTTGCCCCTTGCCCTGCATTTCAGCATGGAATCTAGGTGTGTGTGTGTGTGTGTGTGTGTGTGTGTGTGTGTGTGTGTGTGTGTGTGTGTGTGTGTGTGTGTGAGCGTGGGGTTAGGGGAGCTGGATTCTAAGTTCTACTTGTATTTCTATCCCCTCCGACTTCTGTGTCCTCACTGATAAGATGACCAAGGGCCTCGCTGGGGCTGGGGTGAGGCAGTTGAGTACCCTAACGAACCAAAACGAATGCGCAGAGAAAGGAGCCATGGTCAGTTCCAGCCGGTGGCTCCGACCCAGGCTGACCGACGAGGGCCCTTGGGGCCAGGGATTGTGCCCCTAGCTCGCTCTCGCCGCAGGTTTGACATCAAACTGACAAACCTTTTCCTACCCTTTCCAGGAGGAATAACGAAATGCCCCAACCTTCCGGGGAGGGCAGGGAGCGCTGGGCGCTTGCTATGGCTCCACCACTTCATCTTACACGCGCGCACATACACGCAGGTGTGTAGGAGGGGGTGGCTTCGGGAAGGATCCCCACGCAACTCATGTGTACAATCCCAGCACCTCCCTCGTGGCGCCCCTCGTGGGGACCTGGCCAGTGCTGTGCGCTGGGGATCGAGGGCAGAAGCCGCTGAGCGTGGCTGGGGGAGACTTTGGCCTCTGCAAGGACGCAGATAACACGGCCCCCCCAACGTCTCGCTGCCTCCCCAATCCCTGTCCCTTAACAGTGGGTCGACATGGGTAAGAAACAGCACGTACCTTCTCCGCCTGCCCTTTAGAGCCGGCGGAGCCAGGCAGTGTAGACACTGGAGGACAACTGCCCCCCTCTGCCGCGGCAGGGGGGAAGCGTGGGAAAGGGGAGCCTGCTGAAGGTGTGAGCGAGGAGGGCCTGGGAGTGACAGGCACCCTCGGTCCCCAGCCCCGAGCGCCGCTGGAGGAACAGGAGCGGCCGACCCCCCGCCCGCCCGCCCCCAGGTCCCCCGCTTCGGCTAAGCCCCGGGCGCACTTGGAGCGCGGGGCCGCTGGCAGCCTCTGCATCGGCTCCAGCGTCTCGTCTCCGCGCGCCGGTCGGCAGCCGCGCCAGAGCGGGAGGCTTCCCTCCCTCCCGGGCACAGGGGCGTCGGCGGCCGTGCGGATGGCCGCCAGGCTGAGCCCAGGGCCTCCACTCGCAGGCGTGCTCCCGTGAGCCGGGTCGCGGCGGCACCTCGAGCCGGAGGCGCCAGGACCCGAACTCGCTTCTCCGAGCTCGAGTGCGGACGAATCCCGGAGCCGCGCGCCTCGCGCCCGCGGCCTGCGTGCGGCGCGGAGGGATACGCCGCGGCCGCACCGCCCCTCCCCGCGCTCCCGCCCCCGCCGCCCTCCCCGCCCGGCTCTGCTGCCGCCACGGCGGCCGCTGCTGCCGCCGCCGCCGCCGCCGCCGCTTGGATATAGTGCGGCAAGGAGCGGAGCTTGCAGTCACTTTGCGAGGAGGAGCGCGCGGGCTGCGGGCGGCTGGGGCTCCCCGGGAGTGGCGCCGGCTCTAGCGGAGGCGGCCGTGGAAGCGGAAGGTTCTCGCTCCGGGGCTGGACTTAATAACTTTGGAAGTGTCCACCGGTGTCACGTCCTGAACATGAGCCTCCTCCTCTCCTTCTACCTGCTCGGGTTGCTTGTCAGTGGCGGGCAAGGTAGGAGTGTGGTGCTTTATTGCATTTACTTTCCCTCCCCCTTCCACCCAGCCCTGAGAGGCAGAGGGAGGCACGGGAGGGTTGACATGGAAGAACTAAAGTTCTAGTGATTGTGGCCGTGGCTGTTATTTTCGCGGCCGCGAAAAACTGGATCGGTATGTTAAATAAGAGAAAATCCAGAATTGGAAATGGGCATCAGTGAGCAGGAGATTGAGGCAAACCGCTTCTTCTTCTTTTTTTTTTTTTCCGTTCCCCCCTAGGGTCTTGGCGTTCTCTTGTTTGCATTATCAAAAATGGGATGAGTATGTTGGTGTATATATTAGCAGTTAAATAGCTGAGGTTGCGGGAGGTAGGGGGACGATGATGTTTTACAGAAGCAGCAAAAACTATCAGCGTTAAACTCGTTTGTGAAATATCTGTTGTATGAAAGAAATTCACTTCGTAGAGACTCTCTTTTCCCCCCACTTTCCCAAGACCCCAATTCCTGGCTATGAAGTGAACGGTGATGGCTTATTTCTGTTGAAAACTAGGAGAGAACAGAGGGGCCATGGATGTTGTGTGTAAGAAAGCAAATGGAAAAAATTAGGGATGTGTTGCAGTCATTCATTTTCACACCTCCCCCCCCCCCTTGTTAATACATCAAGGTTGAAAAAATTTATAACATCAGATTGTTATTACACCTGTAAGGGGTTTTTTAGCTTGTGGAGAACTAGTGGAAGCTTTTATCTCTTAAGAAAAAAAGAAAAAAGCATACTAGAATAATAACCTGAGAATGAATTTGTGGAAGCTACCTCTGTTTATCTGTATAGAAATATATGTGAATTTGTCTTGCTTTTTTAGATAGTTCACATTCACATAAAACATATTTATAATAAATGGAGGTATTTTCAACTATCCAGACAAGTTTGGACATTTAATTGGGGACACAAAATGCTAAAACATGCATTGCTGGAAGTCTGTAAAAAAAAAAAGAAGAAAATAGCAGCGATTTTGGGATGTGTAATAATTGCAGAGAATGTTAGTATTAGTATTAGTATTGCATGGAACTGTTTTTGAAGGAAACATAAATTACAAGGCAAGTTAAAATATCTCCACTGTATTCAATTCTAAGCATTTTAGCCTCTTCTCCGTTGCTCACTTGGTCCAGCAGGGGGTGGTAGAACTCCATTTTCAGCCTAGAAATGATGGTTTCTGCTTTCCACACTTACTGGGTCCTTCTATCATTCTTCAGCAGGGCTTGACATTTGGGATATGAAATCTTCCTTTCTCTGCCCTTCTCCTCCCTAAAGCTATAGTGTTAGTGGCTGATGAAACACGATTAGATGCAGATTTTATGTTCAGAATGCAAACATTGGCTGTTGCTATAGTTTGTAAAGTGTCATAGTGAGATGCTGCTCATTTTCCCTTAATAATATAGAGTGTGCAAAATTTCAGCCGGAGTACAATTGCAGATGCGTCCATCTGAAACTGATATTAGCCCAATCAGTTAATTAAATCACTATTATACCAAAAATCAACGTATACTTGATGCCCTATAGATATGCTGCTTTAATTTTTGGAGAGCTGCTGGTTATGTTCAACTGTTCATTTATAATAGAGACTGGTATTTCTGAATACTAAGAAGCAGTCCCTGAAAATTGCAGTTAAAGTACCACTGCAATTAACCAAGTGTAGATTGTATGGAGCAAGATGGGGGCATAACAGAACGCAAGTTTATGCAGACTTACCATGACATTGTCACTGGTTTGGAGAAGAAAAATGCCTCAGTTGTGGAGTCTGTGAATTTGCCATTGTAGACATTCAATGTGTTGGAATTTGGAGGCTACTAGGGAAATGTAGGGATGTTTCAATAGTCCATAGAGACACATATGATGTGGGTCTACATAGGTAACATATATGTGATTCACCCAATTCATAATTCAGGATGCAGGGTCATTATAAAGAGGAGCTCTGAAACTCAAGCATGCCTGAAGGGGAGCCCATATTCACTGCAATAAAACAGGGGAGGAGGAGAGAATGGTTCTGAAGATCTCGCTATCTAGTACAATTAAACAATGCATGACACTCGTAGAAGCATAGATGCACATCAGAGAGACCTAGCTATTGTGAAACGGAACGTGTAGCACTTCTGTGCCGGTGGCCTAATGAAGTCAGAGATGTTTAGAAACAGCAAGCCTGATCCGGGAGTCCAATTCCTCTATGCTAGTGTTTTGTTCTCCAATTAAGGGTGTAGCAGCAAGTATCAGACACTCCCCTGGGAGCAGGTTTTTTTTTTTTTTTAAATGGATATCGTGTAACTCCTAATTTTGTTTATTCTTTTATAAATGGGGGCATGGAAAAGCCTATAGTCAGTGATCCTTGGGCTTGCCTTAGAAATACGAACATTTCAGCTTGCTGATTTATGTTTCCAACAATATACTTGCAGAGGATTTTATGAAGCATGATTGAAGCTATTGCTTTGGAAAGTGGTGTGCAGTTAGACTGGGGAAAGGCGGCGGTGATGTATTCCCTTTTAAGTAGTCACAACGTTTTGAACTGCAGCAGTTGAATAGGAGAAAATGACAGAATTGAAAAACTGACTAACTTAAGTGGATGCCAATACCATGATTAGCTAATACGGCCTAATAGTTCTATTTCTAACTTTCAACACAGCATTATTGTTCCACTGTAGTGAGAGTCTCTTTTTTCTTTATTACAGCAGAAATGCTTCTTTAAAAGCCTCTCATTTCCACTGCAAGATTAATATCTAATGAAATAAGCTTGGGGTGTAATTGTCTAGTCTGAATTTAATTGTCAATGGAAAGGAGATTCTGTAACTCTCACTTCTGCAGTTATTTTTCCCTTCTATTCAAAACTTGGTCACAGCCTCTGTCATCATAACATCTCACGTGATAACTTAAGTCTCTGATTCACAGTGCATTTGGACCTATGTAAATTTGGATTCCCAGACTAGTATGTATGGGTTGCTTTCCTGAAGCCTTTTTACTTTCTAGATCATGTTCTTCTTCTAAAAATTTCCCAAGTATGATTAATAAAATCTGTCACTGGATGTTCACGTATATACATACAGAGAAGCATCGTTGTAGCAAAAGGTAAGGTTAGAGCAGAGCCCTTCACTTCTCTTGCAACCCAGTTCATCCATACGTGGTCAGAACACTTACCTAAGCCAAAATCACGGGGAGAGGGAGGTGAGTTCCCCAGTGAATTAGTTAAGTGCACAAGCATCTGCTTACATTTACTCTTCCTGGTTAAGTACTAGTAAGTCATCCTTCATTAGCGAAGTACCTGCTAAAAATCAAGCGCAGGTGCATGGGTGTCCACTGGGGTCAGGTCTCCAGGAAGGTCTCCACAAACTGATCTTCTGTGTAGGGTGTTACACAGTCACAGCCTCTCTGCCATCCTTTTTCTGTCTACCCTGCTCTAATTCCTTGAGGTCAGCCTCTTTTTGCTAGGTTTCTATTGAATCAACTCCATGTTCATTTGTACTTAGGGAAGATAGGCTATGTAAATTAATATCCTTGTTGTCAGAGTGAATAACCCAGAGGGTTTCTTTCCCTGCTTTATATCAAAGACGTTAAGCAGAGCATTTTGGTCACTTGAGTTCTAATGCTGGATTGGCGCCCAGAGAGCAAGAAGGGAAGTTGGTGGGTCCCAGGTGTCCAATGAGTCTCTTCAATGACACAGGGGGCTAATGTTCTCCCAGAGGTAATGGCCTATTAGAGAAGCAATTAGTGGAACAAAAGAACCTCAATCAGGCCAAAAAGAAAGTCAAACTTTATATAATTTAGTAAATAACATGGCATTCTTTCAAACACAAACTAGTTTGCAATGGGACTGAGAAATGACCTCCAGAAACCGAGGCTGGTAACCAACGTGAAGAATGTAATTGTTTTTGTCTGTATCCTCAGGAGGGAGCAGTGCGAAGGGAAGTAGGGTTGTCAGTCTGAAGGCTTTGGAACTAGTCCTGCTGCTTTCACTGGCTTTTGACATTGGGAAAATGATTTTAATTTATCTGTTTTCAGGGTCATCTCTCATAGCAGTGAACTTTCAGGAGCATAAAGATAGTGCTCGATGTGTGGTAGAGGGAGTCTGAATTGCTTTTGTTGTTTCAATCCAAAATAAAATTAATCCTCTGGGTGTTGGTGTATGTAAAATTAACTTAATAATTTTAATATTCTTATAAAGGATATTCATTGTTTTTCAAGTTTTATTGAGCTAGATTCTAAATTCCGTGCGCTGTTTATACTATCCCAATTATATGGAAGATAGGCCTATTTAAAAGATTATAAATTGGTTTTAATTTTCCAAATTATCTGATATGAAAGCACTTTAAGATGCAACCAGTGCTTTTATGCTTTTTATTAAATGTAATATTCCTGAGCTTCGTAGAGCCAAGCTATCTTTAATTGTTCTGCAAATGAAAATGCTTGAATATTGAACTCTTTTAAATATTTTAATAACTTTTAGCTATTTACAATTGTATTAATAGTGCTGATACCAAATAGCAATCAGCGTACTTTGTACTTTCACGTATTTACTTGTGCCACTAACAATAGTTCAGAGAGATGATGGGAAATTTGAAGAATGATGATGAGAGTTTGAAGATTTTCAGGTCAATTGATCAAAGTTTTGTTATTGAAACTAGCAGGGAAGGGGAAAGAACATTGGACTTGAAATCAGAAGACCTAAACCACTGAGTCCCTTGACTTAGAAGAAGCAACTTAAACTCTCAGAACCATTATTTATTTGAAAATCGGATATAAATGTATCTGACTGGTTGGCCATATCCCTGCCATGAGGAGCTACTGTGATGATAAATATGTGTAGCCATCTTGTAAAATGTCAGCCCTACTACAACATTGTTTCTATTTTTGGTGTAATATGTATAAAGTTAAATCTGCCTGTGGTTTAAAAACATCTCATTTATTCAATTTTTAAAAAGTGTCATAAGCTGCTCTGTGATTAGAAAAACATGTTGATGGGGGCAGAGAGGACCTAAT